ATAACATATCCACTCTTATGACCGGTTATCGATCTATAAATTGTTTTGTTGCATTTTTATTCTTGAGTTTCATGTTTACAATGAGTGATGTAACCAACTCATTCTTACTTTTTGGTCTTTTTGAGTGGGTCAACTCTTTGGTTCTATAGAACTTTTCAAATAAGAATTTTCAAAAAAAAAAAAGAAAAACAGAATGTCCCAAAATAAAAAAATACTAAGAAGTCAAATTACAATTATAAAATGAGTAGAACATAATATAACTCCCACTTAAAGTTTGTCTGTCACGTGATTAAAGTTAATATTTTAACATTTTTAATGTTAAGACATTTTGACTCTCAATTTTTTATTTCAATCAAAATATGATACCCTCTACCTTGATTTTCCACCTTTCAATTAAGAGAAAATGAAGAAAAGGATTTCTAATCCTTTATTTTTATGTTCATTCTAACCTTCCTAATGAAAACTTAATGTTTTGCCTGTAACACAAAAAAGATTCTCGAAATACCATCTAAAAAGTGATTTTTTGAGGTTGCCTCGTTCATATCCAATTTTCTCTAACCATACAAATCTCTCCCACCTTTCTTGACAAAATTTGAAAATTCCTTCATTCACATACTTATGAAATCTCCACTTCAAATCCTTCATCCAAACACAAACTTAGCGTTTTGTAGCATTTTTGCTCCGGAAGAAGCAAAACTAAAAATGGATACAATAAATTGCTATTCACATCCGACATAGACATGTAATGCTTATTATTCTTCTCTCCTATATAGAGTTTCATACATTTTCTGCAAATTGCAATGGGTAAAAATTCTACAATAATGAGAATATATGTGTCCCGATGCACATGACTTGAACATTCAAGAAAATAATGCAAAAAAGGAGAAGAAGAAGACGAAGAAGAAGATGAAGAAGAAGAAGAAAAACAAAACATTCCAGAGAACAAATAATGCAAAAATGTAGAGAAATAAGGTGACAATCTACTCCAAGGAGTTTATCAGATCTCTGAAATTAAAAACCAGCCAATCAGCTTTGGCTGCAACGCCTTCTCTCAGTTGAACACCGGCATAGCAAACATATATGTCAGCACCTCCTGGTTTACGGGCCTACATTTGAGATAAATAGAATATGAATAATTACTTTGGATTAGAAAAACACTCTAAGAAATAAAGTAAAGATTATCAAAAATCAGAAATTGGCCGGTATGGGACAGTTCACAAGGCTGTGAACTACTTTATCTGAGAATTCAAAACATTTCTTTTATTTGTAGCAATCAAAGAAATGAAGTAAAGATTACTGAAAACCAGAAATTGCCCAGTATGGGACAGTTCTTGAGGCTGTGAACTACTTTATCTGAGAATTCAAATATTTCTTTTATTTGTAACAATCAGACTCAAATCCAGGAATTAGGGTTGAAATCTAGGACCTCCAAAGGCCTCTAAGTTGTTCACATTACCTCTAGACCAAAGAATCTTAAATTAATGAGTAGACCATCGTTACTGGGATCTTTCCATCCCTGGAACTGCAATCCAGTTTGCAAATTCCAGATCACAGTACATTTGGATTCTGGGAGCTGCAGTTTGGAACCAAATTTCACTCACATTTTTGATCAATTCTGAAGAAATTTGGGTTTGATTGTGTCATTTTCCTTAGAGATATCTCATTCCTGATTTAAGGCATCATGTCTGTCTCTGTTCTCAGAAGAGAGACTCATTATTCAGAAAGGAAGAAGCATAGAGAATTAGAAAAGGAGTAAAACAAAATATAACCAGAAAACTGTGATTCTCTAGCTCTAACTCCTTGAAAATCTGAATTAAGAAAATTTTGTTCTGTAGTGGGAAGAAAACCAGAGTGGTAGAAAAGGAATGCAAAGTGGTGGAAGAGATGAAGACATTAAAATGAGTCAGCTGAAAAAGCGGAAAACTAAATGAAGAGGCAACTCACTTGAAAATTTTTTCATTAAAACTGAGGGGATAGACTTCCTTCCCTTTCTCTCCTTTTATTTATTTATTTTATTTTATTTTATTTTTATTTTTTAATGTAAGTGAATCTTAATCTAAATAAATTTTAGTTTTTAAAACAATTTTAGTTTTTAAAACATCAAATGAATATACTGCATACCAAAATGCCAAACTAACTCATCCTATCCCCCTTGAACTAGATATTTGCCATGGTATGTGACATTCCTGAGTGTGCACCATGAACTGTGCATACCAAAATCCTGATAACTATGAGACAGGACAGACCATAAATTAAAGCATATTTGTGCTCTAATCTCTATCCCATCTAGCTCACTGTTGACAGGTACAGAGGAGCAATTTAAGCCAATGAGGAGCTCCTTAACAGACATCATGTATGGGTTGAGGGAAATGAGGGAAAAGAAAAGGAAATGATTGCATTTTTGTCCAGTTAAACAAAGATTTTCATTGGATGAAAATCCTTCCCTTTCTCCTCATGTCCTTCAACCCAAACACCCTGCAAGTTTACACAGCAGAAGGTTTGTGCAAGATATTTCTAATTGTTTCCTCATATGGGTTCTGTAAAAAAAAAATTACTTTCCTAGTATCAACTAGCACAGAAATAAAAGAATGCCCAAAAAATAAATTAAACTTGTGCCAAATTCCTAGTCAAGACCAACTATATTTAGAGGAACTTTGGATAAATTTACTAACCTCAAGATCAGTAGCACCATCACCAATCATAACTAATGCCTTGTACCCATGAACCTGAAATACCAGTTTAATCACTCTCAATAACAGCATATTTTGCAAAAAGAAAA